TTTTGTCTAGTGTGCCTTTTGCCATACAGTATCACACAATCAAAGTTTTTGTCAGTATTTCATTGTTTGAGTCATGTATTTCTCTTAAGACTTTTGTGGAATAACACTAATGTAACTGTTAGCGAGTCATAATGGAAAGGAAACTTATCTGTGCTCAAAAACACCATTCCCACCACCCTCGGTTGAAGGACACTGCTGATATGATTGAAGGCAAAGATTGTACACCAGAACAAGACTTTATTTTCTGAATGAAGGCTTGTCCTGCTCACTTGTCTTTATCTTCAACATCACCACTACTGCTGACACTGACCAGCTGCAGGTACAGGGGCTTGAGATTTTCTATAAAAAAAAAAAATCTCAGGAATTTACTCCATCAAATTCATTGAAATTTGGTTTACTGTGTACTTCTTTTGTGTGTGGGGCTTTTTTTATTTTTTATTTATTTATTTATTTTTTATTTTTTTGTAGAAATTAGTCGAGGATTTTTTTTTTTTTACATTTATACATAGTAATAATTTTTTTTCACTGTTTCTTAATAAGTTGCATTGATCTTTGGAAAATGGATGTTTAATGTGGGTGTTGTGGGTTCCTGTTATTTAATACAATTAGCCAAATGCAAATAAGAGTTAGCAATTTATTTTGTTCCTCAGGTTTTTTAGAACCCACTACATATACTGATGTACAGTATGGAAATACAGTACAGTACTTGATGACATTCTGTTGAATTATAAAAAATTACTCAAAATTCCGATATGTTTAATTGAATTTCCAATTATTCTGAGGAACCCCCACCACCTCCATCACATATAATCAAGGGTAAACTGTAATTACATAGGCGAGGTGTGTGTATGTCATGTTTATAAGCAGTGCTTGTAATGTTGGCTTATAAAGCAGCATTAAGTTTTATCGTATACAGTAGATACTGTAGTGTAAATTCATTATTGAGATAATTCTGGGAAAATCAGTTTGAAAATCACCAAATGAATGTACAGCATTTCATTTATGTTAAATACTATTTAGTAATTTTAGGCTAATCTATGTTGAGCTGAATTAAGCTAAATGACATTATATTAGTAACATTTAATATTAGCACGTCTGTTAGGTTGCCAAGTTAGCTTTGGTGCAAATTAAAGAATTGTGCATACAGTAATGTAATTCAGGAAAATACATTAATTAATTTTTTAAAAGATCTATTTTTAGAGCAGTTTGCCTTGGTTAACTAACTCTTCCTAAGAAGCACAGCACACAAATATATGCTATATATGTGTTACAGTATTGCATGAAAAGGAATCACAAACTTAAGATTATTAGATATCTCAAACACAAACACTGAAATATATATTTATCAGCAATGTTAGGAAGGGTTCAATATAGCTGTGTTGTGTGCTACAATATTTGAGAACCTTTTGGCTTTTTTTTTCCTCCAATATTAGTGATTGAAGCAAAGAAAAATACACGTGTCCTAATGGTTGCCATGTCATACTCCTGATGCTAAAAACTGTCTTCACCATTGAAATATTTAAAGAATTGTTTGAATAAATAAAAATAGGATAGAAAAGCATAGCACTACTTGTGTAGTTGCATATAATCATTAAGGCACGCACACATTATTGATTAATTCAAGAAGACGGAAAATCACAAACTTTACACTGCTACCGATATAAATAGAAATGGGTAATTACCAATAGCTGATGATATAAAAATAAATATATATAGAGTGTATATAATATATATTTAAACAGAATAGCTGTCCACCACCATGGCAAGCTGACCATCATTCATTCAGTCGCTGTCTTTTCCAGAAGTGTGCTGACATCACAATTCAGATTACCCCCCAGCTGCAACCCCCCTATCCCTCCTTCAGAGTACAGGCACTGCCCTTCCTACTAACCAACACTTGCTTTTTATCACTATTTTGAGTGATGTAATTAAGAACACTCCCAGTTTTCACACATGCATTTACACTTGTGTATGTAATACATGTCTTTTTATATGCTGTTCTTTAATAATATAGAGACCATAGTTAATGCCATGAGCATTTAGTTACTCTAATCCTAAAAAAATAATGAGGTTAAAAGGCAAGAAAGACCAGACTCCCATTTTGCTCATGTATTATACTCGATTCATATTTTCCTCTAACTTTGATAAAATACTTTAACAACGATAGTGTATGCCAAGTGTTTTTGCAAAAGTATAAGCTGTAGTTATAGGTAGATATTTGTTATTATAAGGAACAACAAATACTAGTACAAGAAAATATTTATTGCATTTTTCACAACAGAAGTTGTTGTTTTAGGGGGATTGTTAATAGACTGCACCTCTCTCATCTCTGTGCCAGAACTTAGCTCAGAGTACTGCAACTTTTTGTTAACAATGTACAGTAATTTTTTTTTTATTTTTTATTTTTATCATCAGTATCATTCTCATCACTATCATCATCATTATTATTACCTTTTTATATATTTTATTATAATTTATTTATTTTTGCCATTGAGAATCCCCATGCACAGTACAAAGTTCATAACTATACAGTAAATAATTGGATGATACAGTCTTTTGTCTGTAGCTGTTGACCTGCTTCCACACATTTGAAATGACTTTTAATACTTTTTCAATACAGAGTTAGCTGCTTTGTAGTGTACATTACAGCATCAGAAGGATCATTCTTTCTGCAGCTAAGATAAAAGTTGGGTATTTAGTGAAGACATGTTAATGTACCATGTGTATGTCCTTACCTTACAGATATGGTGCTATTTTGCACAATGCAGTACTTATTGATTGTCCGAGAACAACAAGCCTGCCTCCCCTACCCTTGGCAGAGTGTAGATCAAGTGCCTACTTCTTGCTGCTTCTTGCCTGCTGTTTGGTTCATTTATCCAAGATTGCTCAAACAGGGTACCTGTTTTCTTTGGTCTGCATAATGCACCTGACAGGGAGCACTCACTCGCTTTATTTTCCCACCTCTATCATTACTTGCAGTCTTGGAAGGTTTTTGCAAAGGAATTACTGTAATTTCATTTAGGTATCCATGGTGCATTTTCTGTCAAATGTGTATGGAAATCACACTGGTGATCCAGATTAGCAGTGGAGGCTTGGGTTTATTGTTAGCTAGCATAGTGAGAATGTAAATGAGGCATAGGTTAAATGTGTCATGTGACAAATGTATTAAAGGGATTAGAATTAGTTTTGAAATTATGCTGCATTGCCTGTGCTTTAAAAATTGTCTTAAAATATTGGCTCATGCTCATACCTATTTTTGTGTACCTGCTGATATTCAGTCCTGATAAAGTACATATTCTTGTTGGAAGAATATTCCTCTCCGTTGAATGTAACATCCACGGTAACCTTAGTATTAAAAATGTTAAATACAAAAAGGCTTTAAAAATGCAGAGGCCACTCCCAGATATTTTCAAGAATTATAATTTATATTTTGAATTACCAAATTATTAAAATATTATGGCATGTATTTTGCAACAGCATTTTTATATTTAATTTTCGTGGCATTGTTTCCACTGTTTAAAGCTAGCAGTTAGCACATGCCCCACATTTTTCCCCCTCAGTAGCAGTGCTGTATCCCCACATGGGTTTAGCACTTCTTTTTTAATATAATAATAATAATTTTCCCCAGTAAAGTTTATGGTGTACTTCATAAACTAATAAAGACTTTATTATAGGTCACATTACCTACCTCATTATTTAGTAGTAGACTTTTTTTAGTAATTCTTTTCCCTCTAATTTGTTAATTGTTTGATAATTTGAAACCAGTGCTCCATCAACACCAGATAATCACCTCAAGGCAATTTCTTATCTTTCATAAAACAAGTGATTGAAAGCAACATATATAGGTGAGACAAATTACATGTCCCATAATTTATATTATAACAATCCCATACCAGGATAACATTTTCAGTATGGTGGGGGTAAAGTATCTGCAATGATTGTTGCTTTAGTATCTTAAATAACATTACTTGAACTGTGGATGCTTACATATGTATTTAAACAGGTAAAATTTCTTTGTTGTTGCTCTCAGGCTAGAGCACTTTATTGTCTCATTGCATATTCTTACTGGAAGAACCATATTTGCAATGTAGACTGGTGAGTCTTGCTGATATTTGAGTGCTTAATAACAACATGGAGTAGTAATTTATATTGGGTGCAACTGGTCTGATTTTGACCTTGACCAAATTAAGGGTCATCATATTGAAATTATTGAATAAGCCTGTATAACTACATTTACAACCCTGACTTGGGCAGATAATCCTATACAGTAGTTGGAATGTATGGAAAGAGAACTAGACACATGATCCCAGGAAGTATAGGTGCTGATGCTGCTATAGGGCTGGGCGGGCGGTGACTTGGGGTTCGCTGCCAGGGATGTGATCCACCTTGGTTTCCAGTGTACAAACATTGTCCATAGTTATCCAAGAGACTCTGCAACCTCACATCTAACCGTGCAATGAAGTTTCATTTATATATATCAAAAATTCTTCACTTGTATTTTTAATTTAATTCTCTGTTCAATTACTCCAGTATCTTTTAATGGGCATCAAATACATGGTGGTTTGTGGTGTTTCAGCAAAGTTTCTTGGTCAAACTACTGCCCCATTTCCTGGGTAGTTATGTCCAGGACTCTTAAGATCTGTACCCGACTTGTACAAGCATTCTTCTTACTCCCTTAATCTTATCTATAATGCAGTATTTTAGAACGTGTTTTAGCATATTATTGTGGAAATAAATTAGTATTTGCTATTACATAGACCTATTTTTTTCCTGATGGTTATTGTTGAAGTGATGTTCTGTTATTAACTTGGTTTTGCTCTGGGTAACATGTGTATAAAGAGTAAAAATTTGTAACATTTCAGAATTTAGGTGTTCTCACAGTGTATTTATGCCATTTGCTCATTTATTTCTCTACAAAATATATCATAAATTTTATATACAATACTACATATTTAAGTATCAAATTATAGTGGTTATGATTCATATTTATACAAGTTACCTGTGTTGAAATTGTTATGGGTAGATATTGTAGGTGAATAATATTTAATGATACAGTACTCTGTAAATGGTACATCACAATTTTATTAATTAGTGAATGTCATTAAAACAACAGTCTTTTGTATATAATAGACGAATTATCTCTAGTGCTATCATTTTTTATATTTATGTGACAGCTTATCCCTTTAAAAGCATGAAAATGAAGAAATTTGTAGTTTTAATTAGTGCAGCCTCATTAATGAAAGAACATTTGTAAATATGCTAAAAAGTATTAAATTGGCTCTATACGTAGTATAGTACAAAATTTTAATATTCACTTAATTTTTTTGGTGAAAAAAGGTTACTAGTATTGTATACTGTATTAAATATTCATCATAACTTTATGATATAACGTTTATCTTCAGTGAGTATGCAGTGATTAAGGAATTTTCATTACAAGTGGTAGCAGTTTTCTAACAACAAATTGTCATGTCAGCTATATTTATAATTAACAGTGTCTTGGGAAAAAAATCTTATTATCGTGTGGAAGTTACTTAAATTGTGCTGTATTTGGTGCTCTTCTAATACCAGGTACTTTTATCTTGATAAATATTGGTACCGGCTGCTTTATACAGTAATTGCAAAGTATCATTTGCATTTCTGCATAAAATTAGTGTAGTCACTAATGTGTATTCAACTCGAATACAGTATTACTCCTTGCCATTAATCTCAAATCAAAGTTGAAGAATGCAATGCATTTTCACTGCTGTTTGTCCAACATTGTATTTTTTTTTAATTATGTAATGCTATGTTTAAGCTTCTTTCCAACCTAGAAGTTAGTCTCATATTTTTTAAATGTACTTTAAAGTTTAAAAATAAGTATTGTGAATTGTTTACTCTAGCATGTTCTGAGCTGTTACATATATCACATTACACTACCTAAAACATCTGCATTCTTTTGCTTTCATGTAATGTTAGTTGTCTTTATAAACTGAGCTGTATACACAAAGTAAAGTAAGCAACATATATTCAGCATTCTTGCTTTGGGTACTGTCACCATGCTTCACTTAAACTTGGCTGATGCCACATCACTGTGAATCTTAATTAAACAAATGCAAAAAGTATTGTAGCTCAATATTGAACAAGGGTAAAAGCAGTTTTGACACAGTACTAACATTTGTATTTTAGGTTAATTTTTCCTAATGCTTTACAGCTTTCCCATTGATACTTCATGGTTGGTGTGGTGTATGCTGTATTATTGTGAGTGGTGTCTCCATTGGGAATATACAAGATTTGTCTTCTTGTTTATTTCTTTTGATTTTTTTAAATACTGTACCATACTTTCATATTGGCACAAGAATGGTGCCTTTAAACTGGTGAAGGGCTCTTGATCAAAGGGATCAAAATTAAGTACCTCCCATTCCCTAGATGCTGTATGACTGCTTTGGGTATAATGTTTCCCTGTGAAATTAATAGTAATAATAGTGTAGAGGATATTTGAAAGAGTTGTTGAGGGTTGGTGATACAGGGGAGGCATTGATTTCAAGAATGGGGCATGGAGGGATAACATCATTTAGAAGTGAGGAGCCTTAGGTGGATATGGGGAAAGTGTGCGAGGCAATTGGGAGAACGAAAAGAGGTAAAGCAACTAGGGTAGATGTCGTTTAACCCTTTGACTGTTTACGCCGTATAAATACGTCTTACGCGCCACTGTTTCTGACGTATTTATACGCATAAATTCTAGCGGCTTCAAATCAAGCGGGAAAGGCCTGGTAGGCCTACATGAAGGAGAATGGGTCTCAGTGGTCGGTGTGCACCCTGTGAAAAAAATCTGGGACTCAGCAGTGCATTGTGGGAACGCCATCTTGGTAGTCCATTTTCAACCATGCCTCGCGGTAAGAAGTACCTCACCTCGGCGGATTGGAGGTCTTTGATCCCAAGTGATAGCTCTAACAGCGATGAAAATGTCAGTGACAGTGAATTCCAGGGTTTGAAGTGAGTGTGACCGCAAAAAGTGCCCAGGATAACGTAATTAGTGATGAAATCAGATGACTAACACTTCCACCTCTGGTGCTGGGCCGGCTTGTTCACGTTCGCCTGTCCAGTGTGGAAATTAGGAGGCGTGAGTTACTAAAAGTATTAGTCAGAGGGGATGAAGAGGGGTGTTGAGTTGGTTTGGCCATTTAGAGTGAATGGAAAAGTTGAATGACTGGAGAATGTATAAATTGTAAGGGAAGGAAGGCGGTGGGGTAGGAGTTGTCCTCTACAAGGTTGGGGGAGAGGGGGGTAAAGGAGCGTTTTGTGGTGAGGGGACTTGGTTTCCAGCAAGCGTGCAGGAGCCAGGAGCATGTTAGATAGTGAGTGGAGATGAGTGGGTTTTGGACCTGACGAGCTGTTGGAATGTGAGCAGGGTAATATTTTGTGAAGGGATTCAGGGAAACCAGTTAGCCAGACTTGAGTCCTGGAAATGGGAAATACAATGCCTGCACTTTAAAGGGATATTGGCAATTTGAAGTGACTGTCTAAAGTGTCATATCTGGGCGCCCTCTGTAAAGACAGTGATTATGTATGAGTGATGGTGAAAGTGTTGACTGATAATGAAAGCTTTTTCTTTCTTTTTGAGTTTTTCTTTCTTTTGGGTCACCTTGCCTTGGTGGGAAATGGCCGATGTGTTAAAAAAAAAAACCTTGCTAAGTATATCATATAAAGTTTACCGTAGAATTATTGTTGAAAATGTTAAGGTTAAGAAGAAAGTGGGATTACAGAGAAGCAGGGAGGATTTAGGAAGGGTAGGGGATGTGTAGACCTAGTGTTTACATGGAAGCATATAAATATGCTGTACTTAGGTAAGGCTAAAGAGTTGTTTGTTTCACTTGTGGATTTAGAAAGGAGTATGATTGGTTTGATAGGGGGCTATGTGGCAGAGGTATGGAAAAGGACATAAGTTACTTAAAGCAGTTAATTTAAGAGTTTTTATGCAAAGTGAGGTGCAGGTTAGCGTGGTATGTGTAGAAAATAGGACTAGATGGATGCATGATTTATGATGGTTGTTAACATATTTACAGTGGGAGTATGAAAGAAAATGTAGGTGCTAGGTGTTGTGCGAGATGAAAAGTGTAGGAATAATTTGATTGTCATGGTAACCACAGGGAAGTACAGATTTGAGAATTTTGGTCTTGTTTTGTTCTTTAGTACTTCAGTTTCAGACTGAGATTAGCGTAAACCGGATCTGGGTATCTGCGTGGATTTTTGTTCATTAATCATTTGTTGGACGCATCAACCAAACTCAGCTTCTCCTCACTTAACGACAAAGTTCCGTTCCTAGATCACGTGGTAAATGTTTTTGTCCTAGTGAGGTTGACAATTTAATGATGGATTGGGGGTTTGTGTCACCATCTTTGATATTGTTTTAATGGTCACCTTTGCACCATTTATAACATTTATGGTTTATTTTTAAATGTAATAACAGCAGTTGTACTGTATATGTAATTTTTAAACAGAAATTGAGGGGAAATCAGCTTTAATATAACATATTTAGGTATGCATATGGTTAGAGAGCCCATCGTAAGTCTGAGTCATTGGTTTTACGAGTATGTCGCAAAGCGACGAGAGGGCTGTTAGGTTAATTCTTCAGTTTTATATTGCAATTTTCTCTCATGCAATCAAACATGTTGAAACCAAAGTTAATCCAGTGGTTCTCAAACTTTTTCAGCTTGTTCCCAATTTAACATGCCACATAAAGCATTGTTACACCTTTCACTAAATGTTTGTTATTATTGATTATTTTATTTTTTTATTCTCACTGGCCGATTCCCACCAAGGCAGGGGGGCCCAAATAAGAATAAACTTTCCGCCATCATTCACTCCATCCTTCCTGTCTTGACTGATGGTGCTTTTATCTACAGTTTTTAAAAAACTGCAAAAATTATCACCCCTCCTTCAGAGTGCAGGCACTGTACTTCCATTTTCCAGGTACTCAAGGCCCGGCCGTGCTGTTTCACTGATCCCTTATTATTGTGACTTTGCTCACATACCAACTGCAAGTACAAGTATTAAAACACCATTTGATTTATATGGCTAATCGTGAAGTATATACATGCCTGCATACTCTGCTAATCCTAGCAAAACCATTGATAAAAGTATGAAAACCACTTCATACAATTATATATAAATTATAATAGCTACAAATTCACAGTAACAGTGGGTAAATACTAACTATATACTGCACAGGGCAGTACAACATAACATACCAGCTTATGTCTACATCGGTTGATGCTCCCATGATAAACTGACAGTGTGAAATAGAAGCAGCCTCAGGAAGTGAGTGAAGCGTACTGGAAGGTCGATCTGTGGCTACTGAGTGACTTTTGTCCTGAAGCTTTACTTGTCACAAAAATACTTTTGGGTTTCCACACACTTAGCTATATATTTCTTCTTTTCTAATACTGTATATTAGTTTTTGATGTTTATTGTTATTTGGTTTAACTTTATTACTTACTTATAATAGGTTTACTTTACAACTTTATATACTAAGACAAAGTTAACAATAATCCTCATACCGGGGTCGGTA